TAAACAAAAATGATATCTATGTAAATATATGTAGTTTCAGGCTTGCGCCTGTTCTTTCTTTCTTTCTTCCTTCTTCTTCTTTTTAATGGAGCAACAATTGCTTTGGCTTTATTTTGTTTTTTCAAGAAATGTCATTTTAAAGTTCCAAGTATCTTGACAACCCCCTCCCTTTTACCAAGTTTTGGGTACTGAGGAGAAACCATCAACCTCCCTTTTTCTGTCTTCCAACCTGTCCCTCAGTGGTGAGGCCTGGGGAGAAGGGAGAGGTCACATAGGATGGGCGGCAGTCGGGGCATGCAGAAGATGGAATAGGGTGGAGTTTAAGAGTAGGAGGGGCCGGGTGCAGCAGCTCACACCTGTAATCCCAGCACTTTGGGAGGCTGAGGCGGGGGAATCACCTGAGGTCAGGAGTCCGAGACTAGCCTGGCCAACACGGTAAAGTCCTGTCTCTACTAAAAATACAAATATTAGCCAGGCATTGTGGCAGGACCCTGTAATCCCAACTCCTCGGGAGACTGAGGCAGGAGAATCACTTGAACCTGGGAGGTGGAGGTTGCAGTGAGCTGAGATTGAGTCACTGCATTCCAGCCTGGATGACAAAAGCAAGACTTCGTTTCCAAAAAAAAAAAAAAGATAAGAAATAGTCTAAATTGGGTGTAAAACAAGAAATTAGGATGTTGACTTGCCCCAGATGGGGAATATTAAAAGAGTAAAAAAGATGCAAAAGAGCTTAGAGAAGAGGTTTCCCTGGTGGCTTTCAATGGCCACAGATGGATGGGCATCTTGGGCCATTGCCTCACTGGGGGTGAAGAAGACTAGGGCGGTCTGAGGGTGTTGTGCTGAGGTATCTCATGGCCCTCTTCTCTTGCCTTCTTGGTTGCAGGCAGGCATGGCCCTGCTGTTCGCGGTGGGTTGCGTCTTCTTCCCGTTGTGCTTCACTGTCCTGCGCTGGGGCTTGCAGAACCACACTGGCCTGCAGATGGAGAGACAAGAGGCTGTCCTGGTGGCATCCAAGTAAGAGGACCAGGGTGAGGGTATCCTTCCTGGGGCCACGGCTGGTGGAACTGATCTCTCACTTTCAGGATGAGTTCGTGGTGAAAGCAGAAGCAGTGTGGGGTGGAGCTGGGATTTGAAGTCAAAAGACACCAGCAGGCGGGCGTGGTGGCTCACGCCTGTAACCCCAGCACTTTGGGAGGCTAAGGTGGGCCTGTCACCTGAGGTCAGGAGTTTGAGACCAGCCTGACCAACATGGTGAAACCCCATCTCTACTAAAAATACAAAAATTAGCTAAGTGTGGTGGCGGGCACCTGTAATCCCAGCTACTCCAGAGGCTGAGACAGGAGAATCACTTGAACTTGGCAGGTGGAGGTTGCAGTGAGTTGAGATTGTGCTACTGCACTCCAACCTAGGTGACAGAGTGAGACTCTGTCAAAAAAAAAAAAAAAAAGAACAACAGTGGAGTCTTTTGTGAGTCATTTAATTTCACTCCCTCACTGATTAATGAGCTCAATAATAACACCCACTTCCCTTTCTTCATGGCGATGTTGTGTGAAGATCATGTGAATCAGCGTCTGTAGAGCAGGGGTTGCAAGCTCCTGCAGATAATATGAGGGATGTGGGCTCTGCCGGGATGGCGTGGGCTGGAGGACTCACCTTCTCAGCTGAGGGCTAGAGTGGCTCCGTGCCAGCCTACTGATAATGTTATACGGTTGGAACATGGGCCAATGTTTTTGGAGTTGATTCTTTGTCATTGTTGTTGAGATAGGGTCTTGCTCTGTTGCTTATGCTGGAGTGCAGTAGCAGGATCATGAACTCACTGCAGCCTTGAACTCCTGGGCTCAAGCAATCCTCCTGCCATAGCTGGGACTGCAGGTAGGAACCACCACACCTGGCTAATTTTTTTTTTTTTTTTGAGATGGGGTCTCACTATGTTGCCCAAGCTGGTCTCGAACTCCTGGGCTCACATGATCCTCCCTTCTCAGCCTCCGAAGTGATGGGATTACAGGCATGAGCCACTGTGCCTGTCTTCTTCTGCTTCTTTTTTTTTTAGACAGGGTCTCACTCTGTCATCCAGGCTGAAGTGCAGTGACATGATCATGGCTCACTGCAGGCTTGACAACGTGACAAGTGATTCTCCCTCTTCAGCCTCCCGAGTTGCTGCGACTACAGGTGTGCACCACCATGCCCGGCTAATTTTTGGATTTTTGGTAGAGACGGGGTTTCTCCATGTTGCCCAGGCTGATCTCAAACTCCTGGTCTCAAGTGATCCTCCTTCCTTAGCCTCCTGAGTAGCTGAGGCTGCAGGTGCATGTCATTGTGGCTGGTTCTCTTCCAATTCTTTTTTTATTTTTATTTTTTTGAGACAGTTTTTTTTGCTCTTGTTGTCCAGGCTGGAGTGCAATGGCACAATCTCAGCTCACTGAAACCTTTGCCTCCTGGGTTCAAGTGATTCTCTTGCCTCAGCCTCCCGAGTAGCTGGGATTACAGGCATGTGCCACCACGCCCAGCTAATTTTGTATTTTTTCTTTTAGTAGAGTTGGGGTTTCTCCGTGTTGGCCAGGCCGGTCTCGAACTCCTGACCTCAGGTGATCTGCCCACCTCGGCCTCCCAAAGTGCTGAGGTTACAAGCCTGAGTCACTACGCCCAGGCTCTCCCAATTCTTAAACACTAATAAGTAACTTAGAATTTATTTAAGAACTGCTTTACTGACAGCTACATACTGGCCAAACAAAACATGTCTGTGGGCTGGGCTGGGCCCTTGGGCTGCAGATCTATAGCCTGTGTGTGGCAAAGCTTACCACAAATGTGCATTGTCCCCAAGCCATTGGAAAGGGAGGGAGTACACAGAACACAGATTTTACTAGGGTGTCTACTTGGATTCCCTGGCAAACAAACAAAAAAACCCATCTCTACTCATCCAAAGTGAAACCACAGTTCCGTGACCAGCCTTGTAGTCCTCAATCGAGTAGTGACAGTGATCGTCCATCACCAGCCTCCTTGACCTCAGTCTTTTTTGCAGTTTTGATCATGTGTGGCTTTGGAGTCCATGGGTTTGAAATCCAACTTTCATCCAGGGGTGGTGACTCCCACCTGTAATCTCAGCATGTTGGGAGGTGGAGGCAGGTGGATTGCTTGAGCCCAGGAGTTTGAGACCAGCCTGGGCAACTTGGTGAAACCCCATCTCTACGAAAAACACAAAAATTAGCCGGGCATGGTGGTGTGCACCTGTAGTCCCAGCTACTCGGGAGGCTGAGGTAGGAGGATCACTTGAGCCCGGGAAGGTTGAGGTTGCAGTGGGCCATGATCATGCCACTGCACTGCAGCCTGGGGGACAGAATGAGACCCTGACCAAAAGAAAAAAAAAACCCCACAAAATTTCTAAACCTGTTTCTTCTATAAAACAGGGATACCACCATGTAGGAAGATTAAGAATCAGTAGAAAGCACCTGGTACTGTCCCTAGCATGTAGTGAAAACTCAGGGAGCTGGATACCCTTTCCCCCTCCGGTGAAGCGCTGAGGTCAGGAGCCAGGTCCACTATTGTCTCTAAACCCGCTCTAAATCGGCTTAAGGTGAGACTTCCTGGGGCTTTCCTATAGACTGCCGCTAGAGGACAGCACAAAACAGCAAATCCCAGTCCCCGGCCTTTCTTGGGGAAGGCGAGGAGTGGGCTCTGGGCAGAGAAAGGTAAAGCACAGAGTTGATAATTGAGCTTGGAGGCCCATGGAGTTTGCAGAGCAGGCCCTTGCCATGCTGAAGTTCACAGGACAGTTGGGATCAGGACAAGAGGGCAGAAGTCCAAGGCGGCAGCGCCTCTGGCTCGGGCCCCACAGCAGGACCCTGACCCGGTCCCCAGGCCTCATTTTCTTTATGGGGCAGTGAGGGGCTTGCACCAGCCCACGCTGGGATCCTTTCCCACTCTGAAACTAGGCTCCCTGTGGACGTTGCAGAGGAAGGGGCGTTAGAGGGTTGGAAATTTAGGGGAGGCCAGGAGGGGCGGGCAGCTTGAAGAACAGGGCCAGGAGTCCTGGGGCTCCCTGGAACTTCCTGAGAGGCAGCCTCCCCCATTCCCCAGCACTTCTTCCATTCTCACTGCCGCTCACTGCAATGAGAGGAGCCTCGGGGCCGCTGCTGGCCCTGTGGGAAGGACAGGCGCAGCGCCCTGGGAGCTTCTGCGGCAGACAGGACCCAGGCAGCCTGGCAGCAGTCAGGTGTCCCCTCTGGCCAGTGCCAGCTTCCTCTCCTGCCGGCCAGTGAAGGGCCTCTGGGTCTGAGGATGCTGCGTTGAGATGCTTTTGCTCCCATTCCCTTCTTCAGCCTTCTGAGAAAGCACCACTTGCTCCTGCTCCCTCTCCTGGGGAACCCTCTCTTCCGCCGGAGTGGGCACCCGAAGCCGGACCCGGGGCAGGCCACAGAGGGATGCCTTGGCGAGGGGGGAGATGCCAGGCATTTGCAAAGTGCTGATGGGAAACAGGGTCAGGCCCCGGTGGGGGCTCAGGGCCCCCTCCCAGCTGGCCAAGGAGCCTCAGGCCCCCTGTAATCCCAAGAGAAGAGCTGGCCCTCCCCAGGGCCCTGTCCCCAGCAGCCCCCTGTGCCACTGCAGCTGCTGTCCCTTTAAGGGCCTCCCCCTCCCTCTTTCTCTGCTCCCCCCATCTCTGTCGCAGCCGCGCGGCTGTGGCTCAGAGCTGCATGGGGAGACGCTGCTGCAGGTCCGATTTCTCGGTGTCTGGTCGGTGCCATTTCCCCGCCCCTCCCCCGCCCTCCCCAAGCTGGTCACTTCCCCTCCCCCTCCCCCTCCCCACCGAGGGGGCAGGGGGCTGGGCACGAAGTCTCTATGGTGCCATGTGTCGATGCTGGGCGGCGGGGACCGGGGCCAGGGCGGCAGCAAGAGGAGGCAGTGAAGCCGGGACAGTGGCGGTGACCACTGACCGCTAGCCCGGCGGCTCCTCCGCTCCCTCCCGCCCACCTCCTTCCTTCGGGGCTGGCACCCGGACCCACCCCCACCCCCTCCCCGCCTCCTCGGGCCCTCCCAGCCTCTCACGTAAGCCTCCCCTCCCCACCTGCCTGGTGGTTCCCTCCCCTCCCCCATCTGCACCCTCCTCCTCCTGTCCCCTCTTCCTCTGTCCCTCAGCAAGCTGTCCCCTCCTCGCCTCTCCCCATCCCTCACTGGCCTGCTCCTGCTCCCCTTCTCCCATCCTCCCTTCCCCCCGTCTCTGTTCAGCCGGCCCCTTCCGGACTCCCCAGTGTCATCGGACTCCCTTCTCGGCTCTGGTGCCCTGGCCCCATCCCGTCCCCGCCCTGTCCCCTTTGTGCCCCTACCCGTTGTTTTCTCCGTCCTTCCTGGGCTTGGCGTCCCTTCTCCACCCCTAACTCCTTCCGCTTGGCCTTCCTGCCCCTTCACGGCCCACCTGCCTCCCTGCCCAAGTCCTGATCCACCATGCTGACCCCGATGGTGGCCGGGGGGGTGGTGTTCCCCGGACTCTTCCTCCTCTCCAAGAGCACGCTCCAGAGGCTGCCCCAGCTGCGCTGGGAGGAGGCCGACGCGGTCATTGTCTCAGCCAGGTAAACGGCTTCCCTTCACCTCAGCCCCTCTCGGCTTCCTGGGCTTCTCAGGGGATGGAAGGGACCCAGCACTTCCCTGGCCCCTCAGTGGGTGGGGACTGGGAGCTCCTGCGGGGATCTGGGGCTTTACCCCCAAGCTTCCTCCCTCCTCACTGCCTGCCTTGCTTGCTGTCCTGGGAGACCTCGTCCAGCCGGGCCATCTAGTTTACTAGTGTTCAGCCTGCCTCTCTCCTTCCCCATAGACCCTCCCACCCTCCAAAACAGGGCCAGCAGGTAGGGAAGACATTCCTATAAGACATTGGGGACCGAGGCCTGGGCCAGACAGCTAGGTGTCATTCAGGGCGAGTGTTTGGGGGCTAGGGATGGAGGCGTGGATGGTAGAACTCTACACCCCTAAACGGGGCTGGAGTGTGGAGGGGAGGCTGGTGGCAGTCAAGGAGATGGTGGGACATTGACTGGGGAGCTCGGGGTCATGAAGGGGCCAGAGTGAGGCGCGAGTCATGACGGGGCAGCTGAGCAGGGCAGGAACTGGCCCAGAGTCCCCTCTCGGGAGAGGCCCAACCAGCAGCTCACTCTTGGCAGAGTGTCACCTCAGGACAGCCTCCCTGCCGACTGGAGAAGAGGGAGACTCGGCTTCCACACACAGGGAAGGGGAAGGGAGAAGGTGGCGAGGAGGGAGCGGACTGAGGAACAGCAGCCAAGCAGGCCAGAGGGCTGTGAGGTGGCGGTGGTGGGGCACATCTCGGGCTAGCCCAGCCTTGGAGAAGGCAGGCAAGGACTGGCCCAAGCAGTGGCTGAGCTCAAAGCGCAGTCTCTAGACTCGCAACGAGGAGAAATAGAGGCACACTCCTCTTCCCTTCGGCGCTTCTAGCGTGCCCCTCTCTCCCCCAGGCTGGTGTCCTCTGTCCAGGCCATCATGGCTTCCACCGCCGGCTACATCGTCTCCACCTCCTGCAAGCACATCATCGATGACCAGTAAGTGCCTCGAGACCCCTCTGCCCAGGTGCCAGTGGTTGGTGTGTACAAGTGACCCCGGAAGACCCCACATCTTGGAGGGAACTCTGTCCGGGGTCCCTAAGCTCTGAACTTGGGCCGGTGCAAGTTGACTGCAATAGCTGCAACTCAGCACCTGGGGATGAATTTATCCCGTCCTGTCCTTAAAGGGCAGCGCCAAGCGGGGAAGGAGTGGGGATCAGACAGGATCCTCAAAGGGCTTCCTAGTAGCTTCCAGGTCTCCTGTGGTGTGGCGGGTTCCCCACCTCCTTCCAGCCTTCTGCCCCAGGAGGCAGACCCCATTTCCAGCCAGCACCCAGGTGGGGCGCCCCCTCCTCACGCCAGGCTCACCCTGTAGCCCCTCCCAGAATCCAGGCATTCGGCACCTGCTCCACACGTGAGGGAGAGGAGATGGGAGAGATGACACGCACAAGGCCACATGCGCCAGGCAGTGGGGGAGGAGATGAGGGCGAGGAGGCCAAACTGTGGCTGGGCAGCTGCTGCAGTGTCTGGTGCTTGCCAAAAAGGCTCAGAGGTGTGCAGGCAGGAGGCGGAGGATGGGGAGGAGAGGTGCCCTGTCCGTGGTGCTGACGGACACCCCAGGTGACCCACAGGCGGCCCGTTGCAAGTTGTCTGGGAGGCATCCACAACGCCCTCCTCATAGCTTTCAGCCCTGCTTCCCTTCCCTGGCAGCCACTGAGCCCCAGGGGACGTTCTCCGGATGCCCCCGGTGGGGGGTGTTTCTGTTTGCCTCTTCTTTTCCTGAAGATTAGTCGCCTCCTCTGTGGTGAGGCGCTGGCCCTTCCTGGAAGGGCTTCAGTGAGAGTAATTGAGTTAGGTGGCCACCTCGGAGGATACTTCTTGGCTTAACTTTTTCTTCAGACCCTGCCCAGGGACTTGGCTGCCTCTCGGCCTCTGCCCGCCCCTTCCCATCCCTGCTCTAAGCTAAGCCTGGGATCCGGTGCTTCCTCCCCAGCCTTCACACACAGAGGTCACCTTTTGGCTTCTGCACCCCCGCTGCTCCCCAGGCCCTCCTGTGTCTGTTCCTGTCCTTCCTCCCCACTTTAATCCTCAGGTAGGTGGGGAGGATCCAGGTTAATCCAGGGCAGCAGCTGTTCTGACTTCTGAGCACCTAATTGCTGACAGGGTGGGGATGGGATTTAACACCTCACATTGCAGCCCAGGGCCTGGTGGCCCCTCCTGGTCTCCTGCCCCAGCCCAGCGCTCCCATCTCCCATCTCATCCCCTGGGCCAGCTTGCTGGGCTGCTCCCTGCCCTGACTCCTCCAGGCCACTTGGACCCTCTCTCCCTGTGTTCCCACCTCATGTTCTCCAAAGCTATCCCTCCCCTCTCATCGCTCCTGGCCTCAGCTCTGCACCACTGCACCACGGTCTCCGGTTCTCTTTTCCCTGGTACTGTCCCTGCTGTAGAGTGGGCTGGCTCCCTTCACAAGCTGGCTGCCCCAGGCTCCCCAGCCTCAGAGGCCTCAGCCCCAGCTTCTCTACAGCTCCCTCCATGCACCTCATGTTTGGTGGTGGCCTCTGGCTGACTCTGCTTTCATCCCTCCTCCCCCTCATGGGACAGGCTCCCCAAGGCCTGCCTCTCTGACCTCCTGCCCCCACCCCAGACCAGTCTCAGGACTACAGGATTTAAGAGAAACTGCCAATGTGCTGACTCCAGAAGAAAAATGCTGTCTTTCATATTCTCCATTTCTCATTTTTGTTTACTCTCCAAGTATGTGGAACTTTCTCTGTCCTTGGCTCCTTTTGCTCTGCATTTTCCCCTTAACGCTTGGCTGTCTCTGAAAAACGACACAAAACAGACAAGGGATTGGGTCACTTTGGGGCAGGGCGAACAGCACTGAGAAGACCTTTCACTTGCCAGCAAGCAGGGCCTCTGATGCCTCTGAGATCTTCTGGGGACAGCGGGGCTGAGGGTGACGGCTGTGGAGCCAGACTTCCCGTGTCCCCTCCTTGGTCAGGTTACCTAGCCCCTCTGTGACTCAATTCCTCATCTGTATAGTGGGGATGATGGCCACACCTACCTTTTACAGCGTTTTGGGAGGAGTAAATAAGTGCATGCATGCGAAGGTTTGGAAGAGCGCCTGCCCTGGGAGGCAGGAACAGGTATCCACTCCTGAGACCTCTCTCTCTAGCACTCTCGCCCCTTCAGCTGTTGCTGATCCTCACCTCAGGGTAAGGTTAGGACAAATAACCATGGCAAGGTCCCACCTGCCTGGCCTGGGCTTATTTTGGCACTCCTCTATCTGTGCCCTTTTGTCTGTGGGCATCTTCTGGTCTCGTCTTTTCCCCCCACTGTACAGCAGAGAGAGAGGAACATGGGTGGGCTCTGAGGCCACAGGTTTGAATCCCAGCACCATCTCTTACTAGCTGCGTGACTGCCTGACCTGCGTCACTGTGTGACCCTCCGGATCCCTCACTGTACCCGAGACTCCGCTTATGCCCAGGGCTGCCCAGCTGACCCCTGAGGTCCACCCCCGCTCACTGGCACCCCTTTCCTCCTTGCTCCCCACCTCCTCTGCCCAACAGACACTGGCTGTCCTCTGCCTACACGCAGTTTGCTGTGCCCTACTTCATCTATGACATCTACGCCATGTTCCTCTGTCACTGGCACAAGCACCAGGTGAAAGGGCATGGAGGGGACGACGGCGCGGCCAGAGCTCCGGGCAGCACATGGGCCATCGCGCGCGGCTACCTGCACAAGGAGTTCCTCATGGTGCTCCACCACGCCGCCATGGTGCTGGTGTGCTTCCCGCTGTCGGTGGTGAGTTCCGGAGCGCTGGGCGGGTGTGATGCGGGTGCCAGTAGGAGCCTGGGAAGCCCTGGGTTTGTGTACCAGCAGACAAGCAGACCCAGCGCGTTCCCAGGGAAAGCTGTGGACCAGTAGGGTTCACAGCCCAGCCCAGTTGCAAGAGGCAGCAGAGTGTGGGGGCAGCCTGGCCCCGGGCTGGACGATGCCCAGCTGTGGCGCTTTGGATGGGTGGTTGTATGTCTCTGAGCCTCAGTTTCCTCACACATGATGTAGGGAACACAGTCTTTCTGCAGGACTATGGGAGGGAGGCAGCCAAGTCATGACCTGCTCCTGCACCCAGGTGTTCTTTCTTCCCCTCTACCCCAAGACGGAGTCTCACCCTGTTGCTCAAGCTGGAGTGCAGTGGTGCGATCTCAGCTTACTGCAACCTCTGCCTTCCAATTTCGAGCAATTCTCCCGCCTCAGCCTCCCGAGTAGCTGGGATTACAGGTGCCCACCACCACGCCTGGGTAATGTTTTTGTATTTTTAGTGGAGACGGGGTCTCACCATGTTGGCCAGGCTGGCCTCAAACTCCTGACCTCATGATCTGCCCGCCGCAGCCTCCCAAAATGCTGGGATTACAGGCGTGAGTCATCATGCCAAGCTTTGCACCCAGGTGTTCTGATGTTCACAGTCAAGCATCTCCAAAAGCGACAGAGGGGAGAGAGGAAGGGCGGGGGCTGCCCAAGAACCCAGGGAGAGCCCCAGCCCCTCACCTTCCAGCTTCTCTGCTCAGGTGTGGCGACAGGGGAAGGGAGACTTCTTTCTGGGCTGCATGTTGATGGCAGAGGTCAGCACGCCCTTCGTCTGCCTTGGCAAGATCCTCATCCAGGTGAGTGGGCAGGGGATGGTGTGGGAGCCCAAGAAGGGGAGGGACCCCCAGGGCTGCTGCCGAGGGCTCTGGCCCCTCTGTCATCCTTTCCATGCCCTTTGAGCTGGTGCTTGTGTCCTGGCAAAGTGTCTGGTCTGGGAGGAGCTGCCTGCTGGGGTAGTGGGGAGTTGGGAAGCGGGCGGGGAAGGGGCGAGCCCTTCTGCTGCCGCGGCCACCACGTCTGTGTCCCTGCAGTACAAGCAGCAGCACACGCTGCTGCACAAGGTCAACGGGGCCCTGATGCTGCTCAGCTTCCTGTGCTGCCGGGTGCTGCTCTTCCCCTACCTGTACTGGGCCTACGGGCGCCACGCCGGCCTGCCCCTGCTGGCCGTGCCCCTGGCCATCCCAGCCCATGTCAACCTGGGCGCCGCGCTGCTCCTGGCACCTCAGCTCTACTGGTTCTTCCTCATCTGCCGCGGGGCCTGCCGGCTCTTCTGGCCCCGCTCCCGGCCGCCCCCGGCCTTCCAGACCCAGGACTGAGGACCTTCCCCCTCCCCACCCTCAGCCCCACGGGGACAGGGCTCTAGGGCTCTGGGGCTGCTGGCGGGGTGTGGGAGCCAGGGCCCTCTCTTGTCCGGAGAGCCCCAGGACTGATGAAGAGCCCGAAAGGGAAGAGGCGCCATCTCTCAGGGGCTGAGGGCAGGAGACAGGGGACCTCTTCTCCCCACCGTGCCCACTTCCTGCACACCACTGCGCTGGAGGAGGGGTGGGAGGGCTTGTTGGGGGGGAGATCGACAGGGTTTCAAGGGGAACCAGGAGTCAGGATGTCGGAAGGCACTGCTGCCAAGGCCATCCCAGCCCCTCCGCTGCCACCCCCCACCCAGGCTCCCCATCACCTGGGAGGAGAGGACGCCCCAACTAACCCCCACTGGCCCTCGGGTCTCCCAAGTGACCCCGTGGCTCCTCTCCAGTTAGGTCAGCTTGAGGAATCTTATTTATTTTATTTATTTACCCAAATTTGAACTAGTCTGTTGGGTTGGGGTTGGAAGGTGGCTGCTACCTGCAAGCCTTCCCAGTGCTGACAACCCCGGGGGCAGGCGAGGGGCACCCCGTCCCTCACCATCAGCTGCACATCGCGCCCTCGGGCCCTGGCATGTCCCTGGTGCTACTGACCTCTCAAGGCTTCCTCCAATCTGGGGTCGGGGGACCCTGGGAGGTGCTTTACAGACCGCTAATAAAAGACGATCTGCGTGAACGTGAACGCCACCAAGGCCCTCGTCACCAAGTTCTTTGGGGCCGGGAAGGGAGGAGGTGAGGGGCTTGGGCTATGGGAAACACAGAGGGGGTAGGACCCCCCTTGCTGCCTGCTGGGCAGTCAGGGAGGAGGAAAGCTGGGACTTTTATTCATCGACAGGAGAGGAGATGCGTTTGGGCGCTCAGGTTGAGTCCGGGGCCTTTGTCTGGCTCCTTAGGCCCCTTTCTGGAAGTTTCTGTGGGGCATGGAGATCAGAGTGGGGAGGTCACACACTGCCCCGCTAGGACTGGGGTCTTCAGACGCTCCCAAGGAAGGTGGAGGTGGGTAGGGTCGGAGGAAGGGGGCAGGCCTTACATGTGGGTGCAGAACTGGAAAAGGAGGAAGAAGAACACCACCACCAGGAAGCCCACCAGGATGTGATGGAAGAGTCCAGGGCTGGAACCTGCTAGACAAGCAGGACCCTTAACTCCCTTCTGATGGCCCAATGGATGGGTCCAGGGCTGCTCTCCTCCAGGACCCAGCGGGGAGGGAGGCTCCTTCTCAAGCTGGTTCATACCTGAGTTAATGAACACGACAGGTTTCTCTCCAATAAACTGGGCCACAGCCAGGAGCCTGGCTTTGTCCGAGTCTGGATAATCAAAGAAGTCAGGTCTGTCCAAGAAGCTTGGAGACTTTGTCCTTAGGGCCGATGCCCTGGCACGCTTGGGTCTGGGTGCTAGGACCCAAGCAAAGTCTGTGACAACGGCCAAGCAGACCCTTGCCTTTAATTCTCAAGGCAGGGGCTGACTTGGGACCCTGTAAGACCACCCAGCCTTATTGTGGATGTGGAGGGCCTTGATTTCCCTCAGAGTCAGCTGAGTGCGCCATGACAAGGCCCTTGGTTGTTGGGGGATGGGTGGGACCGGCAGGATGGGAGAGAAGAGTGGAGAGGGTTGGGTTCTCAGTCCCTAGGCGGGCATCACTCTTTATGTCCCAGAGCTGCCTGCCTTCCCGCTGCTCCCAAGACGCCTTCTCACCAGTTTCGATGGCCCCTAGCGCAGCCAGCCACGCCCACACCAGCAGCTGTGGTCTCAGCCTCATGACTCCTATCATGAGGTGGGGGCTCTGTGATGTCACAGCCCAGAGCTGTTCTGATGGCACTTCGGGGTGAGGGGAGAAAGTGCTAGGAGCTGGGAGCCCCCCCTCATCCCTCACCCTCATCAGAAGAGGACAGGAGAGGCCTTCATCCTCTGAAATGTCACTGATGATAAAACCATAACGGTGTCAGCCCCAGCATTTACAAAGAGGAGGGATGGTGGCAGGGCCATCTTGCTGAAAGCCAGAACTAAGGGAAGCTGCATTTGGACAGCAGGCACAGTTTGAGGTGGCAGCACAGGGCCACACGCCTCCAATGACCCCTTGCTTGGATCAGCCACAAGTAATATTTGTTTTATTTTCTTTCTTTCTTTCTTTCTTTCTTTCTTTCTTTCTTTCTTTCTTTCTTTCT